TTCCCGTCAGCGGAAGTAACAGGGCCCTTTTTACAGTCGGCTTGCCTGCCAGCGCAAGGTGGATTTCCCCAGTTGCAACGTACCTTCCAAACTTTTGATTTAAATGAGTTCAGAAGCCTGCGGCAAAGCTATCTGCAAATTTTTGGCCAACAAATAACCATGAAAAGCAATTCTACAAATCAAGTCTTTGAGAAATTATCTTCTTGGTTACTGCTCACCAAATCCAACCCAAACATATGATGTAATATTTCTACGCTTTGAAAAATTTCTGAAACAATTTATTAAAGCACACTAAGAATTCCTAAAAGACTTCACTCAACAACAGCGAGAGTTCCTGTATCACACAATGAGTATATAAAGACTTCAATTTGTTATTTACTTTTATTTTACTTACCGTTGAATGCTATGTAAACCTCAATTTGACGGATTTCTCAGGCTTGGCTGTTTGGAATCACTGCCTAACATCAGATCTATCTTATAAAATTTCACCAAATAACTTTTAGAAGAGAGAAAGGAAAATAGCATCATACCTGAGACTGTGCATTAATATTGGCTCCTTCCTTAACCAGAACTTTGACAACTTCAGCTTGTCCTGCTAAGGATGCAATGTGCAGGGCTGTATTCCCTTTCTGTTATAGGGAGGGAAAAAAACGAAAGACGTTACCCTTCTTTAGGAATGATTTCAGCCAGCAGTTCTTTATAACGTTCATTTTTCGTGTACAGTTTTACCTCACAGTTCCATGATGTTCCGTAAACATCACGGGATAGAACTGGTAGTAGCAGCCATGGAGATTTCTTGAGCGGTTGTGTAACATCCTAACGTAACTTTTGAGTGAAATTATGGAATGTGATTGGGGCATGGGACAAACTTCTAGGCAAAGTTTAGTACGGGGCTAACGGGTTCTTTTGTTCAGGTCCAGAGATCACGCCTTGTAGAAGGTAGCTGAAACCTAGGAGTCCTAAAATTCAAGCTGTGAATCACATGTAAAATGAGATTTCCCAGTACAAGACCCAAAAGGAAGATCTGATTGTTAAGTAACAGAAAGCAACCTTTTAAAGGCGGAAGATAAACCTTTTTTTCTCTTCTCTAATTGGCATAAAATTAAAATGCGTCATTTTTGAAAGGTGTTAACTTTAAGTTAAGAGATGCACTGCACGATAAAAATAATCTCTCACAAGACAGCAGCAGTGCAGTAGACCACTGCTTTTATAAGAGCCTTGTATTTTTTCCAGGCCAATCTCTCATCCGGAGAGCAATATTTAAATGGCTTTAATAAACAAACAAGGTTCATAAAACCAGAACAAAACCCCAAAGTCCTATCTAGAACCTGGTGGTTCTACCAACAGCTTCACCGAGGGGTGACTTAAAGATGTTTTTGAAGGAGGGAACTTCTGTTTTTCCATCACTGATGGAAATCACAAGTTCAGCAAGGAGCGCTCTGAGCTGAGGACCACGCGTTAACCTTGATGGAGATCCTGTGTGTCAGGTATCATATAATGTGTCAGGTATCATATAAAAAAAATAAGAGAGCCGCAGGGACACAGTGGTGGCAACTGAATGCAACGGCTGAGCACGGCCAGCCAACCTAGACACCAGGAGTCAAACATTACATCGTTCAAGCCAACAAATCCGGCCCATCACAAGGAATTTACCACCCGCAGACAAATAACATGCTGAGTGAATGTTTTGGACATACGCGTGTGCCTGCCCGTGGAAAGGCTGAAGGCGAAACGAATCGTCACACAGGTGTTTTTTCCATTGTGCCCTTGAGCGAAAAGGCTCCGCATAAGATACAGCCAATTACCCAGTTTCACAGATTTGAAAAAATCTACTCGTTTGAGCTATATTCACTCTCTCTATAATGGGGACCAGTCGTTGGAAATCATGAAAAATTTGGCATTGCTAAAACCTTTTAACGCTTCCCCTGTAAACAGACTGTAAAAATATTTCCCTTTCCCTCTTCATTTACTACCGATGAGCTGCAGCAAAGAACGCAGACTCGCAGGCCGTAATAGAAATAACATTTTAAATATCAGTGAGGTATTTATATTATTACGTACTTTAATCCGTTCTTTTCTCAATTTCTCCCACGTATTTGACTTCTCCTTTTTGTGAATAAACTTACAGACATGCATGAATTACCTTAGTGGCAGAATCCACAGCTGACCCTCTTTCCAATAATTCTTGTACCAGTCCCACATGGCCTTCTTTTGCCGCCAGGTGCAGAGCATTGAGTCCATTCTGTAAGCACAAGAGCCATATCAATTACAAATATCGGCTCTGAAGATACACATTCCTACCTTACCCCTGTACAAGAAGAAGATTAGTAGCTGGAATACTATTACATCTCTTAGCTGACTGTCTACATAAGTCAGATATTTTGGACTTGGCTAGTTAAGCCAAGGCACTGTGTGACAAACTTCTCCAATAACTTTTTTCTCATAGCAACAAAGACATCAAAACAAACCATGTTTTGCAAGGACCCATAAGAGATTCCTTCCTTTCTGACAGTTTCGCGTTTCCCCAGGCTACTACCTTGGGTATCTCCATGGAGCCCATTATTTCAAAATTTGAGGGCATATCTGCCTTCTCTTTACTGTAACCTTATCCAGCCCCACGGAGGTATTGCCAACATAGAGAAATCGCAGGACTTAGCCAAATTTACACAGGATGTGTCTATTCAATCAGGATTATTCCAGGCTAATGCAGCTGTCCTGAACCCCGGACTCTCCTCCCCTCCTCTGGGATAACTGGTATTGAACAGAAAGCCAAAACGGTTGTCGATTACGAGTGGCTTGCAAGTTATATTGATCCTTGACTCAGTACCTCTGCTGGTTTCTGATGAGCAGGTCTTCACTAAACTTTGAGGTTTTGCAACCTCATTCAAAAAGGAAATTAATGAAATAAGAGCTAGGATTTTCAAAAAAAGCAACCTAAGAAAGTTAGCGTCTAAACCCTTTTCACGTTAAATAGGAGTAGGATACTTTATCTCGTACAAATTCCAGCCACGGAAACCGGGTCTTCCTCTTCCTACTATCCCTATTCCACCCAAGGGAAAAATATAAAATGACAGCCTATTGTAACTGAATTGCCAACCTGTTTTTCACAATCCGACGGTATTTTTCATGGTACGTCAGGCAGGTGACAGCAGCAGATACTCCCACTGCCCTCAAGCATTCTCCCCTTTTCCATATTGCAAGCATCACAAGTGATACCCAGATATTTGAGTAACCTGCAGCAAGTTTAGCACTATGCAATTTTTATCACTCTCCTTGTCTCAAAGCAGTCCGTAGTCATTTAAATTGCGAAATAAACAAGCAGCTTTCTGGTCTTTTATTCGTCCCTCCACAGAGGCAGTTCACGCTTGTAATTCCCAGTAGGATTTTAAAGCACTTAGCACTTCACAGGAGGCATTTAACGGGAGTGGGTCCAATGGCTGCAGACGCAGCAATCCAAATGCATTTCTGAAGTAACTCCGTTTAATTCTACATTCACGTAAGCAGCACGGGCAGATTTTGTGGTCAAATTCAGAAGCGCAACTATGAGAAAAGCCAAGGAACTGAAGGAAGGCTACATTCACAAGCTGCCAAAAGAAGAAGAATACCCTTACACAGCCTGGTAGTTAGGAAATGTTAATGAGAAATGTGGTTTCAAATCCCATTATGCGGGTAAAGCAGCAGCAACCAGATCTTCCTTATTCCAGAGGAACGCTCTTACTGCTGAGCTGCAGAGCCCAGGGATGGCAGTAGTGCCATGCCCTGGATCAAGCGTAAATTCTTAGCCAAAATTACGTGGTGAGGTTGACCATAATCATCAAGATGAGGAACACTGTACATGTCAGTGAATTTTTTGCAGGCTGAAAACATTTCAGAAAGCTCTGATCTTCCTTGGTTTTTTTAATCTCAGCTGAGTACTCAATAACCATAATTACTACCTACAGCGGTTGAAAGCTTTGAAACAGTATTTTGTGGGGAAACACAGTGTTCTTCTCGTTGTTTGAGAGCAAAGACCTGTTCTCGTATCTAATCTCACAGATTCAGTCATCAACACTTTCTATGAGAGTACGAACGGTACCTTTGACTCCTTACAGTTGTACAAAGCTGATGTATCGCTATGGCATGCTATTAACCTTTTTCACTCTTTGCGAGCAGACTGAAGTCCACAAACAGCACAGAAACGGCAATTTTGCATGGCCCACACGAATTACGCGCGTGCGCACACGCCTCTGAATGCAAAACGTTGAGGGCAAGCTTCTTTTTTAGTTTACCACCTGCCGAAGTATGGAGAAAGCAAGGCTCGTCCCAGCGCTTAATCAGTAGCAATCTCTTAAAATACCTGTATTCGTACCTCTAAGACACATATCTAGTGATACCACATTAAGCAGCTGAAAGCTAATATTGCTGCAAAGATTACGTGAGTTTCTTTGCAACATATAGAATCCTAGAACGGTTTGGGTTGGAAGGGACCTCTAAAGGTCATCTAGTCCAACCCCCCTGCCGTGGGCAGGGACGTCTTCAACCAGATCAGGTTGCTCAGAGGCTTTTTTTATTCATTAAAACACAGCAAAATGAATACATGAGGTCCAGTAAAAAGGTTACAGAGAGAAACTATAGCCTAAATACAGTTCCTACTGTACATATTCAAATTCTGTAATTCCCTAAATAAAGTAAGCCGGGGCAAGCAGCAGCAGAAGCAAGCACCGCACTTTAAGTGCTGAGGGCCAGCGTGACTGAAGCCTTAAAGCGAGCTTTGTTCCTCCATAATCAGAACCAATGCTGTAATTATTTCCCAACCCACGTGGCTGATCCCTGCTACTCGTGACGACGGAAGCTCAGATTTAATCAGTGCAACTCCTCCATTCCTGTCAACTGGATTCTTGTACTTCGGAACAACAAAGGTTTCTGACACCTCCCTTTCTCTCTCCCATGCCTACCAAAAAGTTGGGGGAGCGGGGGAGATGAAATTAGTTGTCTGCTAAGCAAAACTGTACAGCATAGGGACTGCTCCACCCCACGTATACCATACGTATACCATAACTACCTTTCTTTTAGAGGCTCTTTTGTAATTCTAACTCTCATAAAAAAACATAATACTAAGCCTTCCAAGCTTGGTTCTTCAAGTGTTTCCCTGCGGAGCCCGATTCCCTCGGTTCTTTTTCTCCTCTACCACTGAGCTAGAGGCATCAACATTCTGTATCCCGTAGAGTGCTACAAGCGTGCACACAGACCACTGCTGCTCACAGCACTTATTACGGTGTCACCCTACGTATTTTCACCACACCAGAAAAGCCCACAGATTTCTCGTACATCACAGAAATCACCAACCTTCCCAAGCCAATCGAAAGTCAGTCACTTTTTTCCCTGTAAGACAGGCACTAAGTCTTACTGCTATCGTCTGAAAATCACCCAAGGAAGTCCACGCTACTTCTGCCTTCGTATTCAGTCGCCTCATGGAGCGATCCTCACGGAATGGAAGTTCTTCAGCCGCTGCCCAGTTCAGCGTCAGTCCTGCTGTGCCACTTACTCCTTCTGGGACATCACCCAGATCGCTGATAACATCCAACAGCAATAATGGCTTATACTAGTCCTGCCTAACCCTGTTACGCCAAAGCAAAGCGACCCCACGGAAAGGCAACTTCTTGGCAGAGCATCAGATCAACCTATAGTTCAAAGAACGTTTTAAATCAGCGGAGTCAGCTCTGCTACCAGAAGTGCATCCGCTTCTCCTGTCCTCTCCTCTGCTCATTTCCATCCCCTTTCTGCAGATCAGGTCCCCCGATCGTTCGGTGTGAGGCTGCGCACACGCTTCTGCCGGCGCAGGAGAGAGCACGGTGTGGAAGCATGACCACCAAGCCAGGGCAAGGCCAGGATCGCTTCTTCTGTAGCGGTATCGACGTATTAAAAAGACACTATACAGCCCCAGCAGTCGTCTAGCATTACCGCAGCTTCACTGGCGAACTGCATACCAAAGCTGCAACGTGGGCACAGTGTGAGCTTTTACACCCTCCCCTCTGAGCTCAGCTGTGACAGGTATAGACGATAACCTGGTAGCCCTAGAAAGCTTTACTCACCTTCTGCTGGTGAGACCTAGCGAGAAGTACAAGGAACATAAAAATGTTTAGATGGGGGAAAGGAAGTGTTTGAAGGAAGTGGGGAAAAATTCTTTACACGGGTGAACATTTGCTCATGTTAGTTCAGTATATAATGGTCTTGGCACTACAGAAAACAGCCTTTCTTAAATATAATGATTCTTACTTCCCTGAAGTTTACTTCCGTTTGAAGGTATTCATTAAGTACTTACTATCTTTAAGAACATTAGGAAGCAAGAACGCATGTCAACAGAATTAACCCTCTTCTTCCCCTTACGCTAAGAGTCTGACCCCTTATAACCCCCATCGACTCTGATGGAAGTCGGGATGCAACGCTTTCCAGGAAGATCTGCCAACATTTGAGTTTCTAATTACTCTTGCCTTTGCCACACAAGGTTAGAAAGGCATTTAAGCCACTCGCAGAAAAAAACATCGTGAAAGTCAACAACCATAAAACAATACAAACCTTTATTTTTTTAATGTTTCGACATCCTCTTGAAGCGTGAAATGCAATGCGCTTTTACCAAGTTCCTTCCACTGATGCCGTGTTCACAGGCTTACGCATATTCTAACAGGCCAATAGCAACACGTAAGTTACAGACACAATGAAAATCAAGAAGCTGTTGTGACTAACTCTGCATGGTGGTGCTAACTCCTTGACATGTTTTGCCAGAGTTAAGAAGGCATCTGCACTCACCAGTAGAGGCTGAGACTAAAAAGCAGTATCGCAGTCTTTGTTAAAGTCAAATACTTTCCTCCATCTCTTTAACAGATGTCAGTCTAAGGTTGCTGCAAATTCTCTCCTCTGAGTAAATCTCTTGGAGAAGTAAAACGTGCCTGTGGTCAACCTCTTTTCAAGAAGGATTTGGGAAAGGGCACATCAGAGAGCTGGGCATGGCCTTCTCAAGTCCGAAGGTTTGTTGAAGTTTTTCCCAAAAATATCACACAGAAATAAAGTGGACGGTTGAAAAAAAGAAAAATCATTTCAGATTGCGAAAATCCTCCCTTTCTGTTGCTTTATAGCCTACGAATTCATGAAAATGAATTAACCTACTGAGTGACATCGACATGTGATACTGTCGACCTCATTATGACTACAGTGCTACTTCAACCTATAGTTAGCACTGCTGGGAGTGCTAGCTGCTTTCCATTT